GAAGGATTGGACAGCAGCCCTAGATCACGGTCTGTCTGTCGATGTGATATTCAAAGATTTTAGCAAAGCATTTGACAAGGTTTCACACTTAGGTCTTATGCAGAAGCTCACGAGCTTCGGAATAATAGGTACTGTACATGAGTGGATAGGAAATTTCTTAAGTGACCGCAGACAGAGAGTGAGGGTCAGTGGAACGCTATCCGATTGGAAGCCGGTCAAAAGTGGTGTACCCCAAGGCACCATCTTAGGCCCTCTGCTCTTCCTTCTCTACGTTAATGAGTTACCGCCGTTACTTAGGTCGTCGATATTATTGTTTGCGGATGATGTAAAAATCTGGAGAACAATAAAAAGTGCGGCTGATCATGTGGATCTCCAAGCTGACTTAGACGATTTAGTTAGATGGGCTCGAGAGTGGGGCTTAGAAATCAGTGCTAGGAAGAGTGCACTAATGCACGTCGGTCACGGTAATAGTTACCGTTACACTATTGAGGGTAAACCTCTTCCATGCGTTCAAGAGCATAAGGACTTAGGAGTAATATTAAGTCATGATTTAAAAACAACTGCGCATTGCAAAGCAGCCGCTGTCAAAGGTTTTCGTGCGTTATGGTCACTTCGACGAGCGTTCAAATCTTTTGACGAGGAAACGTTTCGAATTTTATATCCCATATATGTTAGACCACATTAAGAGTACTGTATCCAAGCAGCTAGCCCGTGTCTGGTAAAGAATACTAACTCCCTTGAGCGTGTCCAGCGCGTGGGAACGAAATTAGTGAAGGGTCTTTCTAGACTCCCTTACGATGAGCGCTTAAAACGCCCAAATCTTTTCTCCTTGTCGTATCGTAGGACACGAGGTGACCTTATACTGGCATTTCGTATCTTTAATTATGATTTGGGTGTTAATATGTCTTATCTTTTTGCTCCCTCCAGCACTAATAATCTCCGCGGTCATAGCAAGAAGGTTCATAAACCAAGATCTAATAAACTTAAAGTGGGGTTCCGTTTTTCTCATCGAGTAGTCAATCATTGGAACGCCTTACTTGAACAAGTGGTATCAGCCCCATCAGTGAATACTTTCAAGGAAAAGCCGGACCTTCACTGGAAAGCAATGTGTCAGGATTAACACAGGTTCATCAACCTACTATCCTTATTACTGAAGACTGAAGTCGTTGTAGAGTAATTATAAGGAGCGCTTAGTATGAGCTGTGACCATGAAGAACGCGGGTAGCGCTTCAGGGGTAATAGCATCACTTATTTTGCGATACTTTTTTATTTCTGCTTTGTGAACAGCCCAAAATCGAAATTAATTGTAAGTAAATTCGAAGGTTTGTTCCCCGTCCTTACAATTAAGTGAAAAAGGGAACGCATAAGTTAAATTTGTTACAGGCGTAAAATGCTCCGGAGAAACCATAATTTATTAAGCTCCATTGAGCATGTGGGGAACTCCGAATTGGTCCATAAAACAACTTAGGAAAGATATAAATTGGGGAAGCGTTTGACCCAGCCGGATGTCTTACTAACGGCTGTCACTCCTAATGGAGCATAGGCCACTGACCAGCATCCGATAACCCACTCTGTCCTGGGCCTTCCTTTCTAGTTCTATCCAATTTTTGTTCATTTTTCTCATGTCTGTCACCATTTATCGACGTAATGTGTTCTTTGGTCTTTTTCTTCTCCTTTGACCTTGAGGATCCCATGTGAGGACTTGCCTTGTGACATAGTTGGGTGCTTTCCTCCATGTGTGTCCTATCCACTTACAGCGCTTCTTCCTGATTTCTCCCTCCTCTGGAATCTGGTTTGTTTTCTCCCACAGTAGTTTGTTGCTGATAGTGTCTGACCAACGGATCTGAAGTATTTTGCATAGACAACTGTTAATAAACACTTGTATCTTCTGGATGATGTCTTTCGCAGTTCTCCAGGTTTCCGCCCTATACAATAGAACTGTCTTGACATATGTATTGAGAATTCTGACCTTGGTGTTGGTTGACAGTTGTTTTGAGTTTCAGATGTTCTTCAGTTGTAGATATGCTGCTCTTGCCTTTCCGACCCGCGCCTTCACATCTGCATCAGATCCACCGTGCTAATCAATGATGCTGCCCAGATATGTAAAGGTTTTTACATCTCCCAAATCTTCGTCAAGTGTTATTCGATTGTTTCATGCTGTGTTGTATTGGATAATCTTGCTTTTCCCTTTGCGTATGTTGAGACCTACTACTGCTGAGACTGCTGCTACACTGGTCGTCTTCTGCACCTTTTTTACGCTTGCGATAGAAGAGCTAGATCATCTGCGAAGTCTAGATCGTCCACCTGCATCCTAGATGTCCAATTTATCCCGTGCTTCTCCCCAGGTGTTGACATCTTCATGATCCAGTCGATCACCGGGAGAAAGAGAAAGAGTGAGAGTAAGCAACCTTGCCTGACACCGGTCTTCACCCGAGCGAGTTTGTCAACTGTCCTCCATACACGATTTCGCAGTTTAATCCATCAAAGGAATTCTGTATAATACTGACTATCTTCTGAGGCACGCCATAGTGTCGAAGAAGCCTCCATAGTGTTGTCCTGTTCACGCTATCAAATGCTTTCTCGTAGTCAATGAAGTCGGTGTAGAGTGATGCATTCCATTCAATTGATTGTTCCACAATGATCCGTAGAGTTGCGATTCAGTCCGTACACAATCGATCCTTACGAAATCCAGCTTGTCGGTCTCGAAACCGGATGTCTACTAGCAACCTATTACAGAGGCTTGCATAGCGTATTACAAAGGAAGTTGACTTCAATGTGCTTGATGTTCTCGATATCCTTAGTACAAGAAAGGTAGATAACTACGTAGGAATAAACAATATTTGGTTGCTTACTTACACATAGAGAAGCAAATACCACCCACTAGCATTCTCCACCCAACTCTCTCCTCGACAATTGTTTCCAGTTACTGTTCCTGTTGTTGATGTCTGCTTCCAATTCTCCACGCAATATGTTGTTTGGCCTTCCTCTTTCCCGTTCTCCTTCAGGATTCCAAGTTGGCGCTCGCTTTGTGATGCAGTTTGATGATTTCTGTAATGTATGTCCTATCCACCTGCCAACGTCTTTTCCTAATTTCCTCCTCAGCTAGAACCTGGTTTGTTCTCCTATCGTAGGGCTGTTGCTGGCGGTATTCGGTCAACAGCGGACATTGAGTATCTTGCTTAGATAACCCTTTATAAATACTTGTACGTTCTTACTGGTAGTTGTAGTAGTTCTGGAAGTTTCGGCTCCATACAATAGAACTGTCTTGACGTTCCTATTGAAAATTCTGATCTTGATAATAGCTTTTAGTCAGTTGTTTTGAGTCCCATAAGTTCGTCACCTGGATTTGTTGATGTGTATGGGATAGAAGGGCTAGGTCATCTGCGAAGTCCAAGTCTAGTTGCATGCAATCTGTCCATTGTATTCTGTTCTTACCCTCAGATGTGTAGGTCTTCATAATTCAGCCAACCACCAGAAGAAATAGGAAGTGGGGTAGTAGGCAACCCTCTCTGTTACCGGTCTTCACTTCGAGTGGGTCTGTCAGTAGTCCTCCATCCGCCACTTTACAGTTTAGTCCATCGTATGAATTCGGTATAATGTTGACGATTTTCTTAGCTACTCAATCCATAGTGTCGAAGAAGGTCCCATAATGTTCTATCCCACTGTCAAACGCCTCATTGTCAAGGAATTTGATATATGGTGACGAGTACCATCCAATTGATTGTTCAACGATAATCCATAGTGTCGCGATTTGATCAGTGCACGACCGATCCTCTCGGAATCCGGTATGTTTTACCCGAAGTTGGTTGTCTACTGAATCTTTCATCCGGTTCAGCAACACTGTTGAAAAAGTTTCCTGGTACTGATAGTAGTATGATGCTTCTGTGGTTCTCACATTTGCTCAATCTCTTTTCTCTGATATATCGACGAGGTATTCTCCTTTCCAGTCTGTCTGTCTTCTTGAATAGAACTTGGAGCATGTTTGCAGTTGCTTCTATGTCTGACTTTAGTGCTTCGTCTGGTATATTGTCAGATCCATCTGATTTCCCACTGTTGATTTGTGTGACGGCCACAATTGATTTCTTCGATCGTTGGTGGAATGACATCTATAGGAAGGTCTGTATATACTGTTTCGATAACCGGTGAATTCAATGGAGCTGGTCTATTCAAGAGTTCCTCGAAGCGTTCTACCCATATGTTCCCCTGTTCTTGAATCTCGGTGATTGGCTAGTCTTCTTCGTCCTTGACCGGTCTCTCTCGTTTACTATATTCCCCTACCAGTTTCTTCGTCGTGTGATATAGTTGTTTCATATTTCCTCTTGTAGAACTGATCTTTATCATCGTTATTACTATCATTGGTGGGTACATTACATTGGATAACATTCATTGTAATTCCCTCCTTTGTTTTGAAGGATGCTTTGATGTTCCAGGATCCATGAGATTGCCATCCTACAAGTGCATTACGTGCTTGTCCCGACAGCATCAGAGCAACTTCGTGAGTGTGTGGATCATTTTCTTGTTCATGACCAGAGTACGTGAGCATCTTTACCAAATCTAATGTTTTCTGTCCAGTTCGGGTCCAATAAGTTTCATTGATTCCGAGAACTGCCAATTTGTATCATTTCCGTTGCTATTTAATTGGTCCTCCCGGTCTCCCACATTGTCTGGACATTCCGTATACCTATAACGAATGTCGCTCTGGTTGTTAGAAGGGGCATCGACCTTGTGAGGCGTGATAATTCTTCTGAATGAAGATGCTTGAACTCGGAGAACAGAGTTTAAGTGGTTTAAATTGTTTATTCTGGTTAGTATTTGTTTTCAGCTAGGCTGTTTTCTACGGGATAGGGTTGCCGACCCCACTCCCAACCCTCTTCGTTTGTGTTGGCTTGGGAACGGCAGTAGCCCTAGAAGAGGTATAGGCGGAGTTTTAGTTTCCACACCTGACATCTAATTCTTCTGGGATTGTTTTGTTTTAAAGTAATTGGACTCTGACCAATATCATGAACTCTAATGTATGCACGATTGACGACTTTTCCGAGCTTAAGGATCTAATTGAGAAGTCCCATAATGTTAAGGTAAGTAATATTGGAGTTTTGCATAAAACTGATTTTACAGGCAGATGTATCTGATGAAATCAAGAACTTACTTGCTAGAAGAAGTGAAATAGAGCACAAATTAAAAAAGATAAACTCTCTAATGTATGCAAGCCCGTTAGCTATACTTTTTCTGTAGACCTGATTTCCATAAGTTACAAATAAATGCCGAAAATTCTTCAAGATTGGTGAGCTGTGCTTCAAAACTTGCTCTACAGCTCAGTGGGAAAGTGGAGCAATTAGATTTTGTGAAAGTAATCTTATTGAATTCCTAGTATTTTTCAGAATCATGTTCTTAATTGTGTAGATAAACTTAGTCATATAATTACTGTAAGGAACAGTGCAGTTGGAGTGAAACGATGTCTCATTGACTCTAAATTAGATGAAGTAACTTAGTTGATTATCACAGTTATTTTTAGGCCGCTGGTTACGTATTTACTTATCTGGAAATGGAGAGAGATATAATTTCTCTTATCTCTCGTCTATCAGCGGGTAAGCCTGTTTTTCACTTTAAAATATCAGCTGTCTAAACCAGTAGTTTTCTCACTGTCCGGGTTCATTCGCTTACATATATAAAGCATATTTTGATGAATTGCTTAAAAAGTGGTTGTGAACTGTTACTTCGACTTCTCTGCTTGTGGTTTTATTGGAAGTAGAGATAGCTTCCCAATAACCTGTAACTACATGCCTAACATGAGATCCTGGTCAGCAAATTATATGAAAGTGGGAAGACTACACGTTTCAGTCATAATGAGAGACCATTTAGAAATATGTCTCGGACAGCCCCTATACTTCATGTCGAAACAAATGAAGGAAGAGCCTGACAACGTGAAAGTAATAGATGCCAAAATAATTGCAGTATTAGCCGAAGTAAGTGACTAAAAGTATCTATATTAAAATCGGAATTTAGAGATAAGTAAGAAATAAATGGATCTATATTGTTAAGTCCTATTTTGAGCCACGTTTATTCGAGTTCTTCAACTGTTTACCACGATTATCTAGGGGACCTTGATCAAGAATTCAATACCTCTCCCACACAGCTTAGATAGATGATTTCGTGGTCGCTTTTAACCTCTCAACCTACCAGATCGCTTAGCATTGATCAGGATATGACGTAACTGGAGTGTGCATAACATGTCTCAAAAACTTACAAGTTCAGAATAGTTTAAAAGTCACAGTTCTATCATTGGTTATGGTATGAAAACTTAGCATACATTGGCTATTTGTTCTCACCACTTACGTTTAACTGCTATATATGTTGATGGTGACGTTTATTGCCAATTTCTTGAAGATTGATGTAATCTAACCGTTGTATCAGTCGAACACTATTCCGTTAAGTAAAAGGAATAAAAAAGTGAAACACTTCCAAATACTTCAGTAGTGAATCAGTGGCGTGTTGGTTTAAACATTAAGCTATCGACCAGTGGAGGGTAGGTTTAAACTCCAAATTCTTTGTCTTAAGTATTCAGATATTATCACTAGTCGTCACAAAACATGACTCAAATCCGAGTATGGAGCTTCGTAATTGGCTGATGAGTCACAATATTAATATCATCATTATAAAGTCTAAAGGTGAGAAACTAGACGCATTTAAATGAATGCTCCACGCCTGTCAAATGTATGGTGATGGTCTCAGTCAGTCACAACGTAGAACTTGGTGCGTTTGTATGTCAATTCAAGTTTTCATACCCCATCATCACTGAGAAATGAAATTGTCAGGCCAAATCTCAGAATAGTAGAGGTAGTCACCGTATCAGTGTTAATAGGAAAGATTAGGCACCGAAAATACGATTCAATAGGAAAATATAAATTAGTGAAATAAAACAAGAGATTCATGAGGAATTTAGGAGAAGACAAATAATGGATGCAACTGCGCCATTGCAGACGATTTTGAGCCATGTCATTTAAAGTCCCTAACTATTGGTTACGATAACCACACATACCTCAATAAGGTAGTCTATATCTATTAACATGACCAAGTCCAAATGTCAGTGACTTCACGGACTGATGCTATGTTTCGGTTTGGCTGCTCTTAGGTTTCTTCCAGCCTACTCCCACACCTACATACGTAACACGTATCAACCACCTCACTTGATGAAGATTTACTACCTCATCAATCTATTTGTCATTCCTACCTAGTACCCTTCTTAATTCAGGCATTGCTTATTCTGTGGTCCCAAAATACACGAGCAATGCCTCGAAAATACCTATGATTTGATGCATGTAACCTACGAATATCCTCTATTTTTGATGGCCATGATGGTGATTTGACTAATTGGAAATCAATAGTGTCTAAGGAGTTACGAATGAGTCATAATCAACATATAACTTGACACAAATGTGTTTGAGCCCAGATTAGGATCTCATGGTAGCTCAACAAGATTGTTATAACTTGTGCCCTGTGTCCTGTTGATGTGTAACGTGATGATACCGCCAGTTAGAGTACAATGGATTATCGATCGGACCAATGACGCATAAAACATGTACGAGCAGTCCAGAGTCCTTATCGGTCCTGCTTCCTACCTAGCCCAGCCTACTAATTTCAGAACACCATCTCAGCCTCTGCGATATAAATCATTTATTTCAAACATACTGGGTTTATATACTGACCAGGCAGACCTCATCGTACCATAAGATAGGAAACGACATCTGTACAAGATTTGGCCAAAAGTGGCTGTGAATGTGGGAGGTAGTAATTGATAGACTGGGTATAACCCAAGAATGATGAATCGTATAATAATTCATAGGTCAAAATATAGCTCATAATAAGAGGGACATGAATACTGAATAGCTTAGTTAATTAATAATTATACGATAAAAATATACGTATAGTATTGGTCCATAAATGGATCCCGAAAGTTACCATTCATTATTCTTATCGGGATATAAAAAAGATGACATCAACAAAAAGTAGCAAATGAGTCGAAATACTAGTAATATCAATGATAATGAACGGCCAAAATTTCAGAGTATACTTCAAAAACAAGGGGCAAACTAAAGCCATATATATAAAAGCCAATTTGACAGTATATTAATATGAGAAGCCAACATATTGAAACATGTTCGGACGTCAAGCTCCACGAACTAGCTATTACTGTAACAGGCATATGTTACTCAACAAGGTTTTTATTACCCAATAGAACTAAATAGTAATATCAAGATTAAAAGGATAATTAATTAGTTCGTACACCTCCGTACTTTTTTCTGTCATTTTAATGGTTTCTATACTGTATTATAAATATAAATTAAAGTTTATTATGGCACAGCCGGAGATGGGTCTAATTAGTAGAAAAAAATTATAATCTTGTTCAAATTGTCATAGTACAGATTTGTGAGAATTTCTACATTTTTCTGTGGTTTATAATCCTGGTATTGATTCAGCTCATCAAACTGCAACACGATTGTACAGTTTAACTTGCCAACATACACATACTATATTTATTCTGATTTTATAAACCCTATCCTCAAATATTACATGTTATAGTTTCTACTCTTCGATTGAAAATGGTCTCTTATTTGTGATAGTCATATTAATGATGATCTAAAATAATACTTTATAGATAATCCTGATAACCCATTGAAAACTCTGGATGACAGCCGACAAATTCTCGTAAAGATGGCAATTGGGAAATTCGATGAATGTGTTTCGAAACGGGATGAAAAGAATATAGTACATTTATTAAAGATATTTTTCTTATTAGGCGAAACCAATGAAGGAATTCGACGATTTTCTACATATCTTTGTTCATACATTTCAAATAAATGTGAAATATTGATAACTAATTATAAATCATCTTCAAAATCATCTGAATTTGCATCAGCTAATCTAATCACAGAAATTTTAGAGTTTGTTGCGGATACATTAAAAAATAATTCAATGTACGTCGAAACATACTGTGGTAAGTATAAAATGTTTATTGTCATTTAAAGAAACGAGGAGAGTTGTGCTGAAGCTAATTTTTCTGACATTTCCAATGTGAAATGTTTACAAGGCGCAAAAGCATTTTAATGTTAAGAATTTGTAAAATACCGGTTGTTATGGTAGCAAAATATGTTTTATTTTGGTTAACTCGTTTATGATGACACGTAATGATCTTGTGTGATACAGTTATAGTAAATAATTGTGTTGTATTAATACCGGGAAACTATTTGCTTAACCTTTTCAAACACATCAATTTCTTTGTAAGGGTTTGTGTTTCCCTGCTGTTTATATACTGGTGTGCAATTCACTGGTACATTTACATCCTGAGCAAATGCTTCAATATTGCCTTCTAAATTACAAGTCCTCAGTATGCATTCTTTGTAGCCCTGAAATTTCAGTATGTGGAAAATACAAACCCCTGACCCGTTGGACACGTCAGTGGCTATCTGGAATCACTAGTTTGTTGGATAATGCGTTGACTTTTAAGGTGATAGGTACTGAATTGAGGTCTCAGTGTAAGCATTAACACTGATGCTGGTAAATCCATCTGACGTGTCCTAAACAGGAGGCAACACACGTCCTATATCCTCCTGCTAACTGCAGTACAAATGTACTGTACATCACTTATTTATTTGAATCTATTTATAACAGGCAGTTTTACGAATTTATGTATGTAGGGGTAGCTGTAATCAGGCTACGTGGTGTTATTTATTGATTTTCTTATGTTTTTGTTAGGCCCAGGCAACATATTTGGGTTTGTATCTTCTGTTCATTGTGTCGTTGACCAATACGTCAAGTGTGTAATCGAGCGTTTCTATAATTATCATCATCTTGATGAACTTTGTTCAGTGCTCAAGAAATTAAATAGTAATAGTTTAAACAGTAAAAGACATGATTCATCAGCTCAGTCGATCAATAGAGATAAAATATTGGATTCAAACGAATTAGGATCAGATCGCGTATTGATCATTGAGCCTATAATTGTTGAAACGTTACAGATCATTACATGTTCAGAACTTTATTTGAGATTTATACAGAGGCGAATTTCTGTAAGTTATGTTTTATACCTATGAATAATCAATAATAACATTCACAATATTAAGAAGTAAATTTATAAGATCAGTTTTTAATTAAATTGGAATTGAGAAATTTCAATTAAATAATGTTTATTTAGCAATTGCTTTAAACTATGCTTAGATTCATTGTATTAATCTGTTCCAAAAAAAGAAGTTAATATTGTCATTCTGAGTTTAATTCTTTAAAACATTGCCCCCAAATGCCCTGGTAATGCCGAGAGTGAGGAGAGTTACCTCTCTCGAAATGCTTTCACATGGTCACGCATATACAGCCACTACCAGGGAAGTCCTACTCACTGCCTTCTCGCGGTGGCCTGTTGTTTACGAAATCGAGAGGATAAAAGGCGTGTTTCCAATGCTTTAACCGGGTTGGTGGACATGGAGAGCCCACCTAGAGGAGTTGGAAAACCCTGATTCAAAACCATTAGTGCTCATGGGCTCCAGTATTCTGAAGGAACAAATGGCGTATGAACCAATCGCTGATCACTGGCTACCATGGAACTGCATGTCCTTAAGATGCTCCAATGCCTTTTGGATCAGACCTTCATGTCGAAGGCTCCAGGTGTGGCCCCCTAAGAACACCACCTGTTTCGGTCTGGGCACCCGGGCAGTATCACAGCCCTCACACATATCACATGAGATTTTTGTTTCGCACATGTATTTGGTACCTCCTTGTACCAATATCTATGTGTTGAAGTAATAATAATAATAATAACTTCAAAACATTGTGCATGCATTCGTGAAATCATATTGTACATAAAATGTAGATAAATGTAAACAATTATTAATAATAAATATTTTTTTGTTATATCTCAATGAGTAGAAAAAACGTATTTCTGACGACGTTTCGTGACTTAATGTAAGCCATTCCATCAGATTAAATAAATAACGCAGGGTATTAGGGAATGATGATGGTAAATCAGTTGATGAGGTTGTGAATCTGAGATGATTGAGCCACGTATTACGTATACCTGAACACCGATTACCACGACGCGCAATGCTGACTAGTGATGGGGATAGTTGGGAGAAAGTTAGAGATGGCCAAACCAAAACGTGGCATCAGGCTACAACGTCACTAACTTCTAGTCTTAGCCATATTGGTAGATGCACACTACTTGGTTGGGGTTCGAGTGACTATCGTAACTAATGGTTGAAGACTGTGTGTGACATGGCTCAGAATCGATGAAAATGGTGTAGGTGTATACACTCTCTGTCCTCCCTTAAACTGAGATTAAAATTGCTATATATCTTTCTACGAACTAATTCTTTCTTCCTGTACTATGTCCTTATATGGAATCTTTCTTTTATATATTACCACCATTGAATTTGCTACTTCTATGAAGTCGGTGTTCATCTTGTTGAGCTAATGCAATATGGCAACTTGGATCGATGCACATATGTGCCTGTTCCTACGTTGTAACTGACTGACTGACAGTACACTAATAAATAAAATATTTTGGAATTAATAAGTATCAGTACTTGCTGATGAAATAACATACAGAATGAATACATGTTCTGAATCTACTTATTATTTTCATTCAAATTATAAATAACTAATTTGGAATATGCGAAATATATGATTAGTAGTTTAAGAGAAGTCGTTCCAAATAGTTTTAGAAAAGAAACTTAGTAATCTTTAATTATAGGTTTCACATATTCATGGAAGAGTGCTCTATCTTTTACTCATAGTAAAAAACATAAAGATACTTATTATTTATTTAATCACAGACCATGTATATGTAAATATGTGAAGTCGTTATGATGTCTTTTTTCTTCTTCTGTAGGCTGATATCAAACAGTGCAATCTTGCAGAAAATGATTTTAAAAGTACGTAGAATGGTTCGCTCTTTTGTAATGTTACAGCATAGTAATTAACCTTTGATACTGTATCTTTATAATTTATCGATTACAAGTTTATGTTTATTTATTTATTACTGCCCCCAAATGCCCTAGTATGGCCGAGAGTGGGGTGGGCCCGCCCTCCCTCTCGAAATGCTCTCACACGGCCACGCGTGTCCAGCCTCTTCCAGGGAAGTCCTACTCATTGCGTTCTCGTGGCGGGGGTGTTGTTTACGAAAATGAGAGGACGAAAAGCGAATGTCCGGCGCTTTAACCGGATCCCAAACCAATGGTGCACATGGGCTCCAGTGTCCTGCGGGAACAAATGGCGTATGAACCAATCGTTGGTCACCGGCTACCATGGGACTGCATCTCCTTACGATGCTCCACTGCCTTGTGGGTTAGACTTTTAGGTCAAAGGCTCGGAGTGTGGCCCCCTAAGATAACCACCTGTTTCGGTCTGGGCACCCGGGCAGTATCACGGCCCACACACAAATAAAATGAAAATGACGATATTAACTGAGAATTCTATTCACGCTTCGATTAACAGTCAAACAATTCACATTATTATTGTTATTATTATTATTATTATTATTATTATTATTATTATTATTATTATTATTATTATTATTCACTACGTCATTTATTCACTCTCTTTTATTCCCACTTTATGTATCCTTATTTTTCGACTTATACAGCAGTTCGCCTATGATGGAAACTCGGTTCTAGCTAAACGTTCTCGAGTCACTGACTGGTTGAAAATTGTATGCTACCACCAAATACGAATACTGAAGCGGTTTTTCTGAAACCACGTGCACCATTCAAACTGGCTGACTTCAAAGTTCGCACACTTATGCAGGTTGGACAACAGATATGGCTGGCTATGTCTTTAGAAAGTCTTAATATCGACGTTTGTTGTCTATCCGAGACCAGTGTTCAAGACTCTGGTAAAGTACTACAAATTCGCTCTCCATCTGTCGCTTCGAAAAGCTTGTTTTACGTGCGCTTATCCGGGGACCCTGTGGCATCTTCGTCTGGTCTGGTGGGCGTTGGTGTCGCACTAAGCGCTAGAGCTGAGGCAGCACTAATCGATTGGATCCCCATTAACAGTCGGTTGGTTATGTGCTGTTAGATTGGAAAGTTCCATCAAAGTGAGAAGAAATCGGGGTGAGAAACGATGTCTTTTCGTCATCTCCGCCTATGCCCCGACAGATTGCAGCCCGGATGCAATCAAGGATGAGTTTTACCACCAGTTATCTGTTCTTCTCCAGAAAGTGCGTTCGACAGATATTGTAGTACTAGCCGGAGACTTGAATGCTCAGGTCGGGCGTCTAGGCACAGAAGAGAGTCGTTTAGGTGGCCGATTGGGACTCGTTGGTCGCAGGTCAGATAACGGGGACCGTCTACTGCAACTATGCACAGACCACAACCTGTTTCTGGCTAGCACTAACTTTTGGCACAGTCGTCGCCAATGTGCCACCTGGCGTCCTCCCTCTGCATCTCAAGCCTGGACTCAGATTGATCACATCGCGATCAGCTACCGCTCGTGTGGTTGTGTACAAGACTGCCGCTCCTTTTGGAGTACCTATCTGAACTCTGAGCATGCCTATGAACTTGTACATCGTTACTGAATTGTGCTAAATCAATTTTTGTAATTTCTCATCTCGTTGAATTTTGTGTATAATCATCTCCTTTCTATCCATTTAAAATCTTTCAAATGGTTTTCATATTGTCTGCATATTTTCAATGTTAATATAAGACCTTGAAAAAATTGTATATCCACCTTCCACGAAAGGCCGTGCGCGACCGGCCTCAAGCAGTTGTCCCTTGGGCTGTGCAGTCACGCTCCCAGGTCTTTAAGACTAATACTAATCCAATTTCCTTTTCAGGTTCCTCAAGAAATACCCTTCCACGGTGTGGACAGCCGGGAAGTTTCATCAGCCCTCATACCCGTAACAGCACACGAGACCAAGTTGGTCATATTCAAATCCTTCCTGCACCTCCTAATACCTCTCTTATCTCCATGACTAACCCTCCTTACGTCCTTTTATCACCTCGCACCACTAGGGCAAACGATTCGAGTACGCGGAACGTTATTCCTGGTCTCCTGAAACCACGCTCTAAACTACACATAGGAGCTTTTAACGTCCGAACACTGTGCCGAATACGACAGCAGGCTTCCTTAGCTAAGACTAGAATCCCGCGCCATCGACGTGTGCTGCGTCTCCGAAACGCGCATACAGGATCCAAGTAGCGTCATTCATTTGACCTCACCATGCCAAAATAAAGAACCGACTCGATTCACACTTCGTGTATCTGGAAGCCCTGATTCTGCTTCCCGTGGCCCCGCCGGCGTAGGTATAGCATTGAGTCCTAGGGCAGAACCAGCTCTCTTAGAGTGGATCCCAGTAGACAGTCGTTTGTGCGCTGTCCGACTAAATGGAACAGTAAGGATCCGAAAAGATAGGGACACTTGTCGTTGCCTCTTCGTCGTCTCTGCCTATTCTCCCATTGACTGCAGCGCAGAGGATGTAAAAGATGAGTTTTACAGAAAGCTCTCCGACCTTCTCCGAAAAGCTAGGCGCTCTGATGTAGTAATAATGGCCGGTGACTTTAATGCTCAAGTAGGTAAACTAAGCGATAGGGAAAGACACCTGGGTGGATCTTATGGTGTCATGGCTCAAAGAACAGATAATGGCGACCGTCTATTGCAGCTATTCTCAGATAACCGCATGTTCCTTGCAAATACTAACTTTAAGCATAAAGAAAAACATCTTTTAACATGGCGACCCATTAATTCGTCTCAGCGTTGGACCGAACTAAATCACATCGCTATCAGCCACCGATGGAGGGGTTGGATAGAAGACTTTCGCTCATTCTGGAGCACATGCTTAGATTCAGATCATGCTCTAGTACGAGCGCGTATCTGTCTGCGTCTTACTGAACGTAGGAAAGACGTTGCAAGGAAACCTCTTAGGGTCCTACTTAGTGATAGTCAAGCTAAGAATATATTTCAGGAACAACTAGGAAAACAGTTAGGCAGTCATGCAGGTGATGCCCACCCCGAGGCAGCATGGATTGATATCCGAAAAGCTGTGGAAAGAGCAGTGATATCTGCTAGTACGGTAACCCGTAAGGTTAGGGAGCAACACTGGATCTCAGCAGCATCTATCGCACTGATAGGTGGTCGGAAACTCATTCCATCTGGCTCTGAACATAATGAGGAGCGGAGTCAGCTTAAGCGCAAGCTGAAAAGAAGTCTACACAATGATCGCGAACAGTGGTGGGTAGCGAAAGCAAGAGAAATGGAAAAGGCAGCGGCAATAGGTAATAGCAGACAATTGTTCAAACTTGTTAAGGAAACCGGTTTTAGGAAACCGACTGTTAGCGAAACTATCTCAGAGAAAGATGGACATATTATACATTCTCAATCCAGGAGATTGGATCGATGTGCAGAACACTTTAGTGATCAGTTCAAGTGGCCTTCAGACACACTTCGGTTTCCCATGATCTCCAGTCAACCTGAATGGCAAGTTAATGTAAGTCCTCCGTCCCTTTACGAAGTTGAAAAAACCATAGGAAATCTGAAACGAGGGAGATCAGTAGGCCCTGACAGGTTTACTCCTGAGATTTTTAAGGATGGTGGTTCAGTATTAGGAATGAGATTAACTGAGGTCTTAGGTAGAATTTGGGAACTGGACGTAATCCCATCTGACTGGTCTCAATCACTGATTGTGCCAGTTTTTAAGAAAGGACAAAAGTCCTCTTGTGACAATCACAGAGGAATCAGTTTGACTAATATAGTGTCTAAAATATTAGCTTCAATAATACTTCGACGCCTAACTAAAGCTCGTGAAGAGCAGACTAGAGAAAACCAGGCTGGCTTTCGACCTGGACGTGGTTGTATCGATCAGATATTCACACTACGTCAGGTTCTAGAACAGAGACACACATTCAGACGCCCCACAATGGTAGTATTTCTCGACCTTAAGGCGGCATTCGACTCTGTTGATCGTGAGGTTCTATGGCAGTGTTTGTCACTGAAAGGAGTACCAAAGAAGTACATTAACCTTATAAAGGCTCTCTACTCGAACACAACTGGTAGAGTGAGAGCTTATGGCGAACTGTCATCTGAATTGATTACCTCAAGTGGTGTTCGTCAGGGCTGTCCACTCTCTCCATTCTTGTTCAACTTTGTCGTGGACGTACTTTTAGAGATAACACTTTCCTCGTCTAGATTTCCAGGGGTTGAACTTCTACCGGGAGGTTCACTTGTTGACTTAGAATATGCTGATGACATAGTTTTATTTGGTGAAGACGCTGACAAAATGCAGAGTCTTCTGACCACTCTAAGCAATAATGCAAGCATGTTCGGCATGCGATTTTCCCCCTCGAAATGTAAAATGTTGCTTCAGGATTGGGTTGCATTGACACGAACTAATGATAGTGAGTAAAGTAATTGAGCGTGTCGATCGCTTCATTTATCTTGGAAGTCGCATCAGCCCTTGTGGTCTGGTGTGTGACGAAATCTCAGTACGGATACAGAAGGCTCGACTAGCTTTTATCAACTTGCGTGGGCGAGATATCCGTCTATCAACCAAAGGACGTGTTTACTGCGCAGTAGTTCGTTCCATCCTACTTTGTGGCAGTGAAACATGGCCGTTAAGAGTAGAGGATATTTGTAGGTTACTAGTATTTGATCATAGGTGTCTTCGAGATATTGCTCGTATATCCTGGGACTATCGAGTAGGTAACGCAGTTGTTAGGAAACGGGTACTAGGTAAGGATGGCAAATCGATTGACGAAGTGGTGAAACTTCATGAGTTGAGATGTCTGGGACACGTGTTACGTATGCCCAACAACCGACTGCCTCGACGTGCGATGTTCAGTGGTATAGGAGTAGGTTGGAAGAAAGCTAGGGGCGGCCAGACCGAAACATGGTTGAAGTCCATGAAGTCACTGACAGGTGGACTGAGTCGTGTTGGTAGATGTAGACTACGTGGTTGCCCCCCTGAATGCCCTGGTACGGCCGAGAGTGGGGAGAGTCCGCTCTCCCTCTCGAAATACTCTCACACGGCCACGCGTATACAGCCTCTGCCAGGGAAGTCCTACTCATTGCGTTCTCGTGGTGGGGGTGTTGTTTACGGAAATGAGAGGACGAAAAGCGAATGTCCGGCGCTTTAACCGGATTCCAAATCAATGGTGCACAAGGGCTCCAGTATCCTGCGGGTACGTATGGCGTATGAACCAATCGTTGGTCACCGGCTACCATGGGACTGCATCTCCTTACGATGCTCCACTGCCTTGTGGGTTAGACTTTTAGGTCAAAGGCTCGGGGAGTGGCCCCCTAAGATAACCACCTGTTTCGGTCTGGGCACCCGGGCAGTATCACAACCCACACACAAACTGATGAACTCTTTATGCCTATGGAAATTACCTTTCTCGCTTTGAAAAACAAACAATTGATTCAGATTATTATCATTACAATTATTGTCATTATTAATACTAATATTATTATTACTACTATTATTGTCATTATTGTTATTATTATCATTATTATTATTATTTTCCACATTATTCACCCTCTTTTATACTTATACAGCGGCTCGTCTTTGGTGGAAATCCGACTGTATCTAAACGTTCTCGAGTCACTGACTGGTTGAAAATTGTATGCTACCACCAAATACGAATACTGAAGCGGTTTTTCTGAAACCACGTGCACCATTCAAACTGGCTGACTTCAAAGTTCGCACACTTATGCAGGTTGGACAACAGATATGGCTGGCTATGTCTTTAGAAAGTCTTAATATCGACGTTTGTTGTCTATCCGAGACCAGTGTTCAAGACTCTGGTAAAGTACTACAAATTCGCTCTCCATCTGTCGCTTCGAAAAGCTTGTTTTACGTGCGCTTATCCGGGGACCCTGTGGCATCTTCGTCTGGTCTGGTGGGCGTTGGTGTCGCACTAAGCGCTAGAGCTGAGGCAGCACTAATCGATTGGATCCCCATTAACAGTCGGTTGGTTATGTGCTGTTAGATTGGAAAGTTCCATCAAAGTGAGAAGAAATCGGGGTGAGAAACGATGTCTTTTCGTCATCTCCGCCTATGCCCCGACAGATTGCAGCCCGGATGCAATCAAGGATGAGTTTTACCACCAGTTATCTGTTCTTCTCCAGAAAGTGCGTTCGACAGATATTGTAGTACTAGCCGGAGACTTGAATGCTCAGGTCGGGCGTCTAGGCACAGAAGAGAGTCGTTTAGGTGGCCGATTGGGACTCGTTGGTCGCAGGTCAGATAACGGGGACCGTCTACTGCAACTATGCACAGACCACAACCTGTTTCTGGCTAGCACTAACTTTTGGCACAGTCGTCGCCAATGTGCCACCTGGCGTCCTCCCTCTGCATCTCAAGCCTGGACTCAGATTGATCACATCGCGATCAGCTACCGCTCGTGTGGTTGTGTACAAGACTGCCGCTCCTTTTGGAGTACCTATCTGGACTCTGACCATGCCTTGGTCTGCGCCAATCTTGCCTTACTTTTCAGTGGACAACGAAGTGAGCGCCATCAACGGATTGATGTTAGCAAGCTGGTTGCAACTACTGTTGCAAGTAAGTATCGAACCGAGCTAGCCTCTAGGCTAGCTACCACTCCACCGAAAAGTATAGATGAGCATTGGTTGCAATTGCATGACGCCATGAAAATGGCGGGAACAGTCAGTTGTGGGTTTGCGAAACGTCCCGCTTTTAAGCACTGGGTTTCTTCTGGTTCCTTACAACTCATTGAAGCCCGTCGGTCTACTCCGGGTGACCGTGAGTTTGACCATAAACGAAGGATGTTACGTAAGGAAATTGGGCAAAGCTTGCGTAAGGACCGAGAAGCCTGGTGGTCGAAGTGTGCTAATGAGCTGGAAGCAGCAGCTGCATCTGGTAACTACCGGAAGCTCTTCCAGCTCATCCGAGCCACTGGCAGCAAGAAGTCTGATGTGAGTGAAACAATCTGCGAGGATGATGGGATGCCAATCACTAACATCCATCGACGTCTTGGACGATGGGCAGAATTTTTCGAAGGGCAGTTCAACTGGCCTGCTGCTCCGGCAACATCGGTCAGACTGTCCTGCCCTCCATGGCCGGTGACGACTGATCCACCAAATGAGGAGGAAGTCCGCAAGGAACTCCAACTCTTGAAGCGTTACAAATCACCTGGCCGAGATGACTTACCTCCGGCTCTTTTTAAAGATGGTGGTGACTTTTTGACTAAGGAATTGACGACGTTGTTTACAAAGGTTTGGGAACTAGAGAGTGTACCAACGTCATGGAATGAGTCGATAGTTGTCCCTATCTTTAAAAAGGGTTCACGTCGTTCTTGTAACAACTATCGGGGGATAAGTTTACTTCCGATTGCGTCCAAGCTATTGGCTTCCGTCATACTTCGTAGGTTGTTCAAAACCCGAGAAAGATTGACTGGCGAGGAGCAGGCTGGGTTTCGTTCTGGTCGAGGATGTATTGATCATATCTTCACCCTCCGCCAAATGTTAGAACACCGCCATACTTATCGAAGGCCAACAATCGTAGTGTTTCTTGACATCAGGGCTGCCTTCGATTCGTTGGATAGGACTGTTCTCTGGGATTGTCTATTGAAGAAGGGTGTGCCTGAGAAGTTTATTAACATCCTAAAAGCCCTGTATAAAAACACCTCAGGCAGAGTGAGGGCATACAACCACCTCTCTCCATTGTTCCATTCGAGCAGTGGGGTTAGGCAGGGTTGCCCAATCTCACCATTCCTCTTCAACTTTGCCATCGATGACTTTCTGGAAACAGCTCTGATGAATGTAAGTAATGGTGGTGTGGATCTGTTGCCTGGAGAAAGACTTCTCGACCTTGAGTATGCGGACGATATTGTCTTACTGTGCGATGATGCCCAAGGCATGCAATCCACACTTAATCAGTTGGCAATCAGTGTCCGTAGGTATGGTATGTCCTTTGCACCTTCGAAGTGCAAAGTACTTCTACAAGACTGGCAGGATTCTAATCCTGTACTCACCCTGGATGGTGAGCAGATAGAAGTAGTCGAGAAGTTCGTGTATCTGGGTAGCTGCATAAGTGCTGGTGGGGGTGTGAGTGATGAGATCAATGCACGAATAGTGAAAGCCAGAGCGGCTTATGCCAATCTGGGCCACCTTTGGCGCCTTCGTGATGTTAGTCTGGCTGTGAAAGGCCGGATCTACAACGCGTCGGTGAGAGCAGTTTTGCTCTATGCTTGTGAAACCTGGCCTCTCCGAGTTGAGGACGTTAGACGACTTTCTGTGTTCGATCATCGCTGTCTCCGAAGGATTGCTGACATTCAGTGGCAACACCATGTCAGTAATGCAGAGGTTCGGCATCGTGTGTTCGGGCACAGAGATGATAACTCAATTGGTGTCACCATCTTGAAACACCGACTTCGGTGGCTTGGACATGTTCTCCGAATGTCGTCCCAGAGAATTCCACGTCGTGCATTATTTGCCGACTCTGGGACTGGTTGGAAGAAGCGGAGAGGTGGTCAGTGCATGACATGGTGTCGTGGCATGAAAGGAAGCTGCAAAAGGCTGGCTTCAGTCGGTCCTTCACGACTCCCTGGTTGGGGTCCGAGAGATGGTGCTACACAGTGGCTAGAGACGTTATCAGATATGGCTCAGAATAGAAGCCAGTGGCGATCCTGCTGTAACCTTCTTTTACTTTCTTCATAAAAAGTGGTTGTGTCTCCTTTACCTGAAAGATTTCTTCTGATTGTACCTTTTCGTTCCGTCGTTACTACCACACTACCTTACTCCAATCTCTTCGTCATTGTTCTCTTTTTCTTTTGCGTTCCTTAGTTTTTTCTTCTTTCTACTTCTCTTCGAATTCTCATTGTTTTGTGTGGCGCATATATATTGGCGCTCTCTTGTACCAATATTTATGTGTTCAAATAATAATAATAATAATAATAATAATAATAATAATAATAATAATAATAATAATAATAATAATAATAGTAATACGTGGTTGGGGACCGCGAGATGATAGCAACCGAAGGTTGGAGACCCTGAGTGAGATGGCTCAAAATCGTTTGCAATGGCGCAGGTGCATGCACTCTTTGTGTTCTCCCGAATTTTGATCTCCTTATTCCTCCTTGTCTCTTTTGTTTTCTCTTCCCAAATTTATTTCACTTTATTATACTCTTTAAATAAGATCTCCCAACACTAATTTTCCTGATTACTGCTTATACTCTTATTACCTCTACCACTACGGGATTTGGATCGACCACTGCATCTCTGTGCTAATGTGTTGTTGCAACTCGAACTGATGTACGTTCGTGCGAAGTCCTACATTGTTACTGACTGACTGATATCCACACAAGTTGTTATGATCTTAGTGTATTTTCTCGTTGAAACTTACTATATGGATGTAAATGTAGTGTGTTTTTTACTGATTGAAATCATGAGTCGATTGAAGCTAGACCACCATGGAAAACCTGGAAGCACTCGACAGCCGTCTCGTCCTAGTATGTGACTCCTCAGAAGTGTGCATCCCCGATCCGGCACCCCGCGAGATTCGAACTCAGGACTTATCAGTCTCGCGCCAGGCGCTTAACCAACTAGACCACTGAGCCGACATCCAACGATGTTAATGTCTAACTTCAACCAATCCATGAAGTTGCGCTACCGTACACCATTGTCTTCAGTGAGTTAATTTCTCACAACAGACCTGGTTGAACTCCATTGGTAACGGCTTCTCACTAGAACTCCAGGAGTATCTCTTGAAGTCAGTTACCACTAATGAGCAGATGATTATTATCAGAATGGATTTAATTTAGTATCATCTATAGTTTTATTAATTTAGATTAAAATACTAAAAGTAAATCAATCCTCTTTTCTTTTTTTTTTAAGAAAAAAGTAATGAAATTTCAAAGTTTTTTGAAAATTCTCATCTTGTTTGTCAAGTACAAGATTTACTCAATAAATATCTTAATTTAGAACAATATTATCTTTATGTGACAATGATAAAGGTGAGTTGTTTTCTCCGTTATACGATATCTATTGTAAGTGTTTATGGATAAATGACTATATTTTGTATGTTTTTATTGAATTCATCTATAATTGTTTAGTAGCTTTCCCACCTTGGAACTGTAAACCTTTGTCACTCATTACTTTAGTTAACTAAACATCTGCACTTCGGTATTCAACAGCAGCTCTAATAACGGTGTATAACTATATGTGGATTCTAAGGAAAGAATATTTATTTACAACTTACTCTCTATGAATTAAAATATGTTCTGTTTCTAAACCTGGTTTTGTTGAGTCGTTGAGAATATCGGACTTTACAATTATGTTTACTTTCGGTTCTGGCGCATATGTAGACTGAATAGAGGATTTTACCTTTAATATTTCAATTCATCGTTCTTGATAGGCTTCAAATCACTTCTGCTTTTGCAGCAGCAACAATAACTACATTTGATCAAATGAAATAGACAATTTTCTTCTGAGATACTTGGATTTGTTCAGATGGCGATAACATACTTGGGGATAGTAATCAATCTTAAACTACTAAAATGCATAATCGCTAACTTTACTGTAAAGTTTCTGCTAATGTTGACTAGAAAATTGATAGATGCCTTAATATTACATTATTCTGCTCAATCTAGGGATAAAAATATTGTAGTTGTTATTTAACACCTTTACTAACAGTTCGAACTCGTGATTTCTTCACTGGGTTGTTAGTTTCACCCTAAATAGATGAACATCATTTCTAATCTGGATTTTTTCAATTATTTGTTTTGCAAGGCATTAAATTCAGATGAAGTCGACTCATCTAGTAATATATGGTGCTTTGTTGACGATGTGTTTTTCATCACTAAGAAAAGTCTTGTGTAAGTTACAATTTTTTCGTTGTGAAATGTATTACCTTCAATTTAGTAAGGTAACATATCTGTAATGACCCAGCTCTGATGATTTTCTCCAAGCTTCAAGGTCTTAGTAGTGTATTTCATGTTTTCAGGAAATTCAGTTTTCTTAATTGACGGGAATGATTACGCAGTATAAATGTGGCCATTCATCCAATCAACTACCCGTAGTATTGTAGCTTTCTTATATATGGTGTATTGTTTTGTGGACTGTGGAATCTGATGACCAATCACATTAGCTTTCGCCATCCTTCAGTTATTTATCCTATCACTGCATACACTACCGAGTGTCATACGATTCCTATCAGTTTTATGAAAGGATCAAATTAGGAATTTATTGGAAATCTGACGTAAGACGAAACGTTTTGTCTGCCAGCGTTAACCATCTTAAGGGATTTTCATAAAATCTGATAAGTCTTGCGAACTGAACGCTGTATTCGTTTCCCAAGCTATTCTGTAATCCCCAAGCTAGAACTATGCAGCAACCTGAACAACGAGGGAGAAGATGCAAAGTATGCGAGAAGTACTTTACTAAAAGGCTCATTTTAACACAGAAAATATAGGGTTTTTATAAAATTTTTGAATGTCCTTGGGTTGCTCGAAGATTCTGGAAAGCAGTATAGCAATAAACCAATCAGAACCTCTACATTTGACGTTCCACTTCTTTGATATTTTTGGCTAAAACTTCAAGTGAACGCCGATTGGATGAAACGCTTCTTAGTGTTTCCTGATCCTTTCTTGTCTTTTGCAAGAAATTTTCTGGATCACTCCAACAAAATCATGTTGAAATATATGATCGTTCATCACTAACCATTAAATAATTAATTGATAGTTCCTGTTATATTATGAGGGGCTACTACTTTTTTATATTATTGTATCTCAGTGGTCAAATTTTAACTGCTAATGATTGTTAACATCGTTATTGCATCTGTTATCCGATTGATTTGATTTTGTGACCAGATTCCATTTACTGTAGTATCCATCAGTGGTTTACCAGTTTAGTATAAGATCATCTCTTCAGTAATCGGTTTGTACGGATTTCCCCGACGACATTGGTTAGACGAATGATCCACCTAACGAGGTGGAAGTCCTCAAGGAACTCCAACTCGTGGAGCGCTACGAGTCGCCAGGCCCAGATCACTTACCTCCGGCTCTTTTTAAGGATGGTGGTGACCTTTTGGCTGAGGAACCAAGTTTATTTATTTCTACTATCAAAATACATTGTTTTGAAACTTCCAATCTTAAAAGTAATTATATGTATGATATATTCAGATACTAGTCAATGATTGAATATTTATTGTAAAAACACCAACTTCAGTCATACTGAAATTATTTTTTCCCTTTTAACAGTCGATCTCTTTCATCTGGTAATGTGGATACTATTTGTGCTATGGTGAATCATAGTTGTTCAATGCTAATTGATCTTATGGTAAATGATTTTCTGGGCAACGTTATTCGTACAGGGTTTCCTTCGGGTTGGGTACAAGATGCATACAGTTATGTTCAGAATAGTGTTGCTGTGGGTAAGCTAGATTCCTCTGCTAAGCTTTTAGGAGTCCCATATAACACTTCTTACAAAAAATTGATTTCATAGGAAGTTCTTGTTATTTGCCTCTTTATATACAATAAGTTCAATTTATATCTACCAAATATCAACATATGAGTGAGTACTTTATATGTATTCATTCTCAAACGTTTTACTGCAGCGTTACCGAATTACGGGAATTATGTCTTCGTTTGATTAATGGTGGAATCCACAACACACGTTTCTTCCCATCTGGGACTCGTCAACTGGATTAGTCTACGTCCTTTTGTTAAAGTTCTCACTGCACCCTGAACTCAGTAGGAACTACTTCAAACTATAGAGCAGTATCCAATCAGACACTAAGTTACGATAGAGACCATTTTTCAAGTACTGCGATATTCTTTTTAGTTATAAATGTTTACATTTTACTGTTGTTGATATTCAGAATAAATTAATCAGTGTCTTTTGGTATGTGGTCTTCATGATCTGTTATCAGTAATGAGATACAGGTCAATGATTTGTACACCTGAGAACTTTATAAAAATATTATAAAACCTTCATATTTCGTATTGGACTCACTTACTTTAATGCGCAGATCATTCATAAATTTGATTAAAATGTCAAATGCATAAGGTTGGTAATAACTACTTCTCTATAATAGTTATTTATTACTTTCATATCTTACTCTACATTTCTGCAGTTGATTTTATATCTAGATTTCCTAATTCTTCTTGAAAAAAACATGTCTAATAAATGGAGATATATACGTGATAGTTTAAAGCTTTTCACATCCATCTTTTTGCCTGTTGTATCATTTCACTTCAAATAGAAGTGTTGCTTGTATTGTTGTAAGTCGTTAGTAATAAAGGTAGTCGATGTTTTAGTAAATTGAATCTCACAATTTCATAATTAATTTAAATTTATAATCAAATGAATTTTCTATGATAAACATATTGTCTAACTTTTTCTTATGCAATTACTTTCCACCCCCCCATCTATTTATTCATCTTAGCTGGTTCACTTAGTTCTTCTTCATCCATTGTCAATGTTCCAACAGTATCATCATTTAATATGATTGGACCTAATGCACTTACAAGATATCATTTCCTAGTTACTCTTAATAGTATTGAAGCATCTCAAAAAGATTTATTGTCACTTGTTAATCATCTTGAAAGTGAATTAAATTTACTTTATCAAAATCAAGAAATCAATTCACAAAAACTTAATGTATGTTCTAACTTTTTCTTATTAGTTTAAGTGTTTTTAATAATGTACATTTTGTTTTCAGTTCATGTTATTAAAGCATTTGCTTAGGTGTGATTTTATCGCTGCTACGTATCTATGTATATTCCCATTTTTATCATTTAATGAAACAATAAATAGTCAATTGCACTTTTGATTAGACTATAGTGCTTTAGCTTATAGGTTTATATTTAATAGTGGGATCTGATAATAAATAATAAGTAGGCCACTTACTAGCATTCTCTATCCAACTCTTTCCTCGACAATCGTTTCCAGTTACTATTAGTGCTTTTGATGCCTGCTTCCAATTCTCTATGCAATATGTTCTTTGGCCTTCCTCTTTTCTGTTTCCCTTCAGGATTCTAAATTGGCGCTTGCCTTGTGATTGGGATCCGTGCTACTGTCGTAACTAGTGGTTAATGACTGGGTGAAATGGTTCAGAATTGTTCTCATTGATTAACTCAAGTACATTCACTCTTTGTCTTCTATTAGGTCTTAAGTTTCCTAATTACCTTGGAAATATTTCATCCCATGAATCCACACTTTGCCTAATTTTTTCTATTACTAACAATACTGTTACGAATTAAAATACTGTAACATCTCTCTGTCCCGGTGTGGTGTAGAAACTTGAACCAATGTACATATTTGTCATGTTTTACGTTGCTTATTACACTGACCATTGAAACTGTCCCCAAAGAAGTACGAGCTTATTGCAAACATTTTGGAGTTGCACCAGCTTACTGGATACGGTGAGTTGTCAAATCATGATTCCAAACTGGTAGTATACATGATCTCCAATATCCAAAATGCTTTTTAATCACATACTTCTTTCTATATGAAATCCTAAGTTACTCGCCTTCCCTAGTGATAAAATGTTCACAAAGCAATTTTGAATTGTAAAGGATGTCAAATAATTGTAGTAATTAATTTGAAACAATATCAAAGAATAGTATATCCTGGATTCCTCTTCTATTCACTGCTATTTCATATCATTACGTTGAATATCATATTTCATTCCTTATAATTCTCATTTCCTTTGTTGTCTTTGTCGGATTGATTTATGCATGTTTTTCTCTTCTTTTTTTCTCTCATCTAATTTAAGATGTGTATCACGGAATTAAAAGTTTCTATCTCAGATCAACTTCAAGCATTACTTGATTCTGCATTCGAGTATCTTTCAACTAGTGTTATTCAAAGTCAAGTAAAAACTTTGTTAAATGTTTTCAAATCATTGAAATATGATTTAATTGAGGTAAGAGTATAAAGCATAATTTAGTTTTATTTTCTTCTATAATCACCATAATCTGTTTATCCCTTATATACTTCCATTCCAAGTGACAAAAAAAATAAAAGTTTTCTTTATCAATATTGTAAATTTATTATTCTTAGTGTGTGTGTTAAATTGGGATTGGTTGTTAAGACGTTCAAACATCATAAACTCACTACCCGGGTACTTGACTTCAAACCATAATTCAAGTAAGGGCTAGTGATATGACCTAGTTGCCCAGACCGAGTTTTTTGAGGCTGGGCTCAGAATTGGAACCCAATAGCTGAAAGCCACATCTCCTAACCAGTTAACTACCGTTTCAGACAACGTCCTTTTTATTTGTTCTTACGTCGTAGTTATCGTTTTTACTAATACTTCGTCTATATTGTCTTCGTGATAGTGTGGAATATTTTGGCTGGTAGAATATTTCGTCATATGTTATTTTTTACTACTCTACAAGTGTTTTAAAAGTTTTAGACTATTAAGGTCTTATAGCTTTGATGTTTTAATCTTGAACATAGGTTATAGTTACTAAGGGAAATAATGGTTTTACTTACGTAATCAACGTATAACTACTATCATGGAATTTCTAGTAGAATAGTACCGACTGTATATTTCCATTTCTCTGCCTGCAAATCTTGATTCACTGTCTTTGTTGTGCAGATTCATTAGTCCCTAAGTTAGTTACAAAGAATTTTTTCTGTGATAAGTGATGATAACCTGGCTCACGTTTAATAAAGTTGTATGAATTCTCTTCAGTTTGTAAGTTTACTTTGTTGCAAGGAATTGTATGTAGAAGAGAATGTGAACTAATGATCAAAATAGCTTCAATTTTCCAATTTGTATGGACATTTTACAATAACCGGATACATTGCTAACAGTTATGAATTGAAGAGAGATGTAGATCTTTACTTAGTGAATATGAATGAGGTTCTTGTGGTTATGTACCAGTGAGAAGGCCTGTGAGATTTATGTAGTTATTACAAGTATATTACTTATGAGTACCTACCAATTCATCGCGCAATATTCCTGCCCGTGATTTATGTTTTACTGCCAACCTAATTTCTTATCGTTGATAATGTACTTCTTGTTCAATCTGTTATACAACTTTGGTCATTTTCTTTATTGTGTACTGAAAGTATTGATACTAATTTCATCACCTTGAATATCAGTTTGTAACCCTAACCTAAGGACAGTTTCAACTCACGACATGATGACTGATCAGTAACCTCGTGTCACATGTACCATTCTTATAATAATAATAATAATAATAACAATAAGTTTGATAGGGATCGTTTATTAGATTCTTAATGACATGAATTTTTTTAGTTATTTAATTATATTGATAAGATAACAATATTTATTTGGTGAAACCATTTTCATGATATGATTTCCTCCGTTTATCTTTACTATTATTTCAGGAGGATCTAGATGTTTTCGCTGCTAATGATCGATGGATTGAATCATGTATAGCTCATACAGAAGATTTTCTCAAACCATTTAGGGTATTCAAATTTCATATTGTAGTTATTTTTTTAAAATAATTATGTCATTTCTATCACACTGTAGTTATAGAATTTGGTTAATACACAAATTTACATAAATCGTTTTTATTTCACGTGCTATTGTTTTTTACAAGAATGATTTGATAATAATTCTGGGAAAATTAATTATAACTAAATTATATATAACTGACTAGCATACACCTTGACTACATAATTGTTCACTTTGACAACTATTTGATTTGTTCAAATTCAGCATTCATGATTTCATAACTAGATTATTCTGTTGTGTTTTGTTTCATAAAGAGATATGTTTATCAAATTAGCATTAACTGGTGCTTTTATTTTGTTCTACTTTATTATTATTATTATTATTCCAAAGTGATCATCCATGATACAAAATGGATTGAAGAATGAGATCTTCAGTACTCATGACATGAGCGACGTATTCACCAAATTTGTTCCGTACACTTTAGCTACCATCTTTATTGATTTTATAATTTCAGAGTTATCTCAACTATTCACTTTATTAGTATAAAATAATGTATATCTGTATGTAAAATACAGAATTTTGAAAGACTCAATAAGTTTCATGGACTTAAGAGTATATGTACATAGTTCTTATTATTTTATTGCCTATAATTTATATACATTATCTTCTAATTAGTCAGTCAGTCAATCAGTCAGCTACAACATACGACCAGGCACATTTATGCATCGGTTCAAGTTGCCATACCTCATTAACACAACAAGGTGGACACCGGATTCATAAAAGTAGTTAATTCAGAGGTGGTAATATATAAAAGAAAGATTGCATAAAAAGACATAGTACAGGAAGAAAGAATTAGAACGTAGAAAGATATGAAGTGATTTTAATCTCTTAGTTTAAGGGAAGACAGAGAGTGTATGCACCGACGCCATTATCATCGATTCTGAGCCGTCACCAAGAGTCTAACCATTGGTTACGATAGTCACGCGGACCCCAACCAAGTAGTCTGCATCTACCAACATGGCTAAGACTAGAAGTTAGTGACGTTGTGGCCTGATGCCACGTTTTGGTTTGGTCTTCTAATTAGTGACCCTTTATCACGAAAAGTATTACTAATTAGAAGAGTACTTTTCGTGACTTCAAATAATCTGTATCTGCTTCCGAACGATCTTTGTATAGTAAAGATTAAATGTTTTGATTAAAATGTACAATAATGAGTAGCTACTTATTATTATTATTATTATTCAATGAATTGTTTGTTTCTTTTGTTTGTATTCCTATTTATAGTCTGTTCTGTCAATTGAGAATAACGATCGATTTGTATTAATTCTCATAAATGAAATTTTGCATCAACTTGATCAATTTATTCAAAGGAAATCTTTCAGTAGAGTAAGTCACTATGGAATATTTCTATTTTAATGTTCAGTTTTGTTTTTTTTATGCCTTTTTCTTTTTCTTCTTCTTTTTTTCTTCTTCTTTCATACTGAATTTTTATTGAATCTTTTTTTTCTTCACTTTTTATTTCAAAATAGTTTGGAGCTATTCAACTAGAAAAAGAATATCGTAATTTGTTTGCATATTTGACATCAATATCTTACAGCTCTTTGCGTGATTATTTTACGCGTAGTTTACAAATTTGTAGACTCTTAAACTTGGATCGAGTAAGTTCAGAATTATTTTCCTATTAGTTTAAAGATTTTAATAATAATAATTATTATTGGATAAATATCTATAGAAGAATTCTAGATTATAAATGAATCTTCTGAGTAAACTTATCTTGATTTTAAGAAATGTAGAAGAAAATATTTGTTTGAATAGATCACCTACTCAGGAAAAGTGTACATTTTTTAAGCTTCGAGATTAGTCTCAGGTACTTACTTACTTACTTACTTACTTACTTACGCCTGTTACTCCTCGTGAAGGAACATAGGCCGCTCACCAGCATTTGCCATCCAACCCTGTCCTGGGAAATCCTTTCCGGCTCCTTCAACTATTGTGATCTAACGAAGAAAAACTTATCACAGTCTTTTTTTCTCAACATTGATAATGTTGTTTAGTTTCCTGTTATCCTAAAAGTTCAATTATAAGTAATGGATCAGTCCATTTTTGTTTGTTATACTTTTGTTTTCAATGTGTTTGTGGTTTTCCAGATTGAAGAAGTACATTATTATTGGAATAGTTCTAATTGGCGTCTCACTGCACATGAAGTCAGAAGTATTCTATCTCTAAGGTTAGTTTCAATTATATATATATTAAAAGGCTTGATAACTTCTTATTTCTTTGATTTTAAGGGATTATTCTGTACTAGATAAGCTGATTTAACATAATTGAATTGGTAAAAGTAGGTTAATCAGTCAACGTGGTCTTCTATCTGTGTCTTTTAAAGCAAACAGGGTATTTGTTAGATGATTTTCTAGCCCGTTGACCCATCATCATTCGGATTATGAAAATTCGAACATATGACATAGTAACTTCATGAACTGATGAGAATTTTTGGTTTGAGCTTCTTAACCGTCTTCTAACCTGCTACAATTCTGTTCATCATTAGATATAGGCGTAAGCATTGATTAAAGTAAGTGTTAACATATGTGGTAGTCTTATTTCATCGAATTATCACTCGCTTTTTGGACCTTACGCTTAACTACAACAATATTGACTCGGTTGTTCTAACCTACGTTAATGTCACATAGAAGGCATTTGTGATGGAATAATTTGAATACTTTTTTCTGGTTAGCTTTTTTTAGCGAGTTAGTTTTCTAAGGGATGGGGTCGCTAACCCCATGCCCAACCCTCCTCCTTCATCCGGACTTCAGACCGGCAGTAGCCCCTGGAGGGACTCGAGACGGAGTTTGTGATGGAATACGTGAAACCTATACGTGTCCAGTTTAAGTAGCGGTCACTTTCAGTATAACTTAGTTTTTTATTGATATCTCTGATAAGCTTTTTTCAGGTTTACTATATAAAAATTCTATTTTAATATTTCTTATTCATTCTATTTTACAGACGTGATTTTGCTGTAAATGAAATTCGTGCACTTAAACTACAATGATCTTACGTTTTGTCAGTTGTTCTCCTTTCTTTTTTTCTCTTGTTTTTATTTTGTCTAAATTTTTTTGTTTTGTTTTTCTAATTTTTACAATCTAATAAAATTTATGGGATATCTCAACTGTTGTTACCATAGAATTGGTGGTTTTTACAAATTTGATAGAGTTGAATTAGAGATTTCCTTTTTTGAGTCATGAATTCTTCAAATTCGGCAACAAAATTGATCAACTTTTCATATTAATATTATTCATAAGTTTATGATCAACAGAAATGATAAACTTGGAAAATTTAGAATTACATTAGTCGATAATAATTGAATTACAATAATTGTGAATACGGTACAAAACATTGACCGGTCAAACAATGTCAAATCGTTTCATAGAAGTCATAAGCGAACCAGTTAACGGTGTGTTAGTTTTATTGATGAATATAAAAGTGATTTATGCATGGAACGACTAGATGATCTTTCGAAATCCTACTGACAGTGATGATATTAATTAAGGCACGAAAACAAAACACTCGAATAATTTCATCTTTGTCATACAACAGAATTAGTTAAGTACTTTTAGGGGATTCTCTTTGTATCCTTTCTTTCGCTTAGATATATATATACATATATATAATCGAATATAAGGAAATTTCTAGAAATACTAGAACAAGGTCAATCGGGCCAGTTTAGCTACAGTGCTTCATTTTTATTCTGACCATCAAAAAACGGATTATTGTATATGACATTGCTATGGTAATTATGACTGATGTGTTTACGAAAGCTAAAGTGATTTAAAAGTGTTTCATAAAATTGTAACTAACTTATGTTTACCACAGCCTTACAGCTAAATCGTGCTGAAACTCAAGTATTTTAGTGGATACACTCTACTTTGTATTATCTAATGATCGTTGAGAAATATGTATCTTTATTCGTTTCAGTGTTTTATAAAACAATACAAGATGAAATTGCCTAAAAAATAAATGATTCGCACGAGTCAGTCTATGGTTGCATTTCCATATATATTCAGTTTGAGCATAACAAAACGGTTCCTCGAATTGAAGACAGTTACGCTTGTTGATTAGATATTCCATATTTTATTGGAGGATCAATAGTCTTTTTTTACAAAATGCTTTAGGTGTTGTGGTTTGTGTAATTTATAGACGATATTCGTGAATTATTGACCGCATTGGCTTACTTTGAAATAAATTGGTAAGTCTCCGTTGTAAAATCGTCACCTGTTGGACTCAACTAGTTTGGGATTGATGCAGTCGTCAACAATAAGATTAAATGATCGTATCAATGTTTTTGGTACTGAATGATGTTAGATTTGGTATATTGTCGAACCCCCGCCTAGTTGTCTAATAGCTAAGTGCTCTTCGAGATATATGACCAACCTGTAACGAAAATATTTTATACACATAGTTCCCTTTATTATCTTAAATAGAGCAAGAACAAAGATTGGTGCAGAATAATAAATGAATTCATTTTATTTCGTTAGGTTCTCATCAGCTGTTTACAACCTAAATTATTTGAAATTCAAATTATTACAGATATTGACATATTTATACATAAGAGTGTGATTAAGGATGAATAAATGTATCATGGTGTAGCGAAGATTCCGATAGAGTTGAAACGGAAAGTTCCAGGACTTTGAAATAGTGATTAGAACTCATGAAAATAGATTTCTGGATAATAAAGAAAATATGAATTGAAATCAATCATTTATGTATGATGTAATTTAAACTTTAGAAAGAGTTGCAATAATGACGCAATAAATAGGAGCAAATGAATAGAAAGGGTGGGGGTTATTGTTACCAGGGTAAAGAAAGATTTATTACTGTTTCTTTTTGTATACATAGATCTGGTTTTAAACGTTTGATTGCTAACGCTTCAGCTAATTTCAAAAGGTTCGAGTTTGATTATTTGTTAATCACCTTGAAGGACTTCAGTATATCAACTTCATGTCCTCTATCAAGGAGATGTCTTGCGATAGCACTGTTGAATGTGTTCAATCCATTTAACCTTAAACTTTTCGGAATATGTTCTTTGAATCGGACGTGGGCTCTCCTTTCTGTTCTACCAATGTAACTGCTTTGGCAGGCACATGTAGACTATTAAATTATGGTGAGATTTGATCAAATGTTCTTCAGGGCAGTATGAACATTGCTGTATATTAGAGTATATATATATATATATATATATATATATATATATCACTACTTGCTTGCTGATTTCACATCTAAAATCTGAAATGTTCGAATAATGGAATTTCTGTGTTGAAAACGATCATCCATACACAGAACACCTTGACGAAAAAATGTAAGCGAATTCAATTCAAATCTTGAACTAATAATTATGCAAGTAAGAAAATCAATCATTGTTGTACCTCGAACTTTTTTTTACACCGGAAATAGCATGTTTATTATCATATAACACTCAGTGTTCGGTTTATTCACAGTGATGTCTCTATTTAATTTATTTTTTATAAACACAAACATTATTCCAAAGAGGCATCAACTATATATGCATTACATTTCGTCATTCGATTTGTGTGAGGGCTGTGAGACTGCCCAGTTGCCCAAACCGGAGCAGGTGGTTCTCTTAGGAGGACATACCCCAAACCTTTGAACTAAAGGTCTAATCCATAAGGCAGTGGAGCAGCGTTAGGAGATGCAGTCCCGTTGTAGCCGGTGATTAATAGGTTCATACACCATTTATTCCCTCCTGAAGACTATATGGAACATTGATTTGGAGTCAGGGTTTTCCAACTCCCCTAGGTGGACCCGCCAACCCGGTTAAAGCGCTGGATGTTCACTTCTCATCCTCTCGATTTCGTAAACAACACCCCCATTACGAAAAGGTAGTGAGTAGGATTTCCCTGACTGGCTGTATATATGTGGCCATGTAAAAGCATTTCAAGAGAGAGAGCGAACTCGATCGTACTAAGGTATTTGGCTGTTCTGCAGTCTATAGGACATTATATGTGGTGTGGCAAGTCAGATGACAGTTGATCCGAAATAATTAATTAAACGGTCGCCACAAGCAACGACGTCTTTTGAATACATCAAGTGAAGTCGCTAACGCGTAGACTTCTAGAAATCTACGAGACATTAATTTGTATTGCAGAGCCTTCCTCCCGAGATCTTCAGTTATTCCTAATCATACTAAATGAGCGAAGCAGAAGTGGTCTTGCTAATTTCAACCCCATACAGAAGAAGGTTGGATATTTGTTCAGCAACCTCATCCCATAGAAAACAACCTTGCTAAAAAAACTCTAACCAGAATAAACAATTTAGACCATTTCAACTGTGTTCTCCAAGTTGAAGCATCTTTATTCAAAAGAATTATGAAGCCTCATGATGTAAGCTGAGATTCTTCAGAAATTACAAAACCGAATGATAGAATAGGATTAACACTAAAGAACATCAAAGTGGATGGATTTAATTTTGTTGTTGTTGTAAACATTTTTTTATACACTAAGAACATGGAATGATGCAAATAAACAGAGATTCGGAAACATTTTTGTATTGTACAATCATCAGGCATATAAATTCATATATTCACATAAATTCAATCTCGTTAGTAACGAACGAAATACAAACACAATTCTTTTTTTCTTTTTTGTTTTTTTTTGTTGAAGAGAAAATGTTTTTGTCATAGATTTCTTCTTCACACTTTCACTCAAATCAACAATGATATCACGTTTTATTCATTACATTTTGAAAATAAAAAAAGTTGGACAGTTAAAAGTAAAACAAATGTATCTTGTACACTATACAATGCTTAAGGTATTTTTCCAAACTATTCAAATTATTGGTCGAAATCAATAAGATTATAATTTGATTTTCTTCAAAGAATAGTAATATCTAATAATTGAGTTGTTGCTAACTTGACGTGGAGGTCGGGCTTGCCTGTCGTTATGAAGCGACCGAGCTATACTGGCTGGAACAATCGTTTCTCAAGGTTCTACCATATCAGACAGGTCGGTTGAAGAGCGGTAAGACTGAAAGCAACAAACCCAAGGTCCGAAGGAGAAATCGTACTTCTGTATGTACAGAGGTGACAACAGTAAGGTGCTTCCTTCATACAACCAACATGACAGCGATGATGCCTTCCCACAAGGAGGGGTGGGGTTAGAAAAGGTCGACCCTAAAAATGCACACCTCGCCTTATCCCACGGATATCCGTCTCCGGCGGTAAGATCTCAACAAGTACGGAGCTAACACAAAAATTACTCAGAAAAAAGTCGTGTGTGACCGACCTCAAGCAGTTATCCCTTGGGCACTGCGGTCACTAAGACCACCTCTAATCCAGAAGAACCCTTCCACGGTGTGGGCAACCGGGAAGTGATAACCGACCTCATACTTCTAACAGCACTCAAGACCACTGCATTCATAATCAACCTCCCTCTTCAATTCCTATTATTCCTCCTACATCGACATTCAACTCTAAACTTCCTTTTTCGGCTCACCCCTCAAGTGTTACCATAACCAACGATTCTAGTGTGCGAAACACTGTCCCGGGTGTACTGAAATCTCGATCCAATTTTAGCGATTAGGTTGACTAATATTTTAGCTAAGATCTGGGAGTTAGACGTTATTCCATCTGGTTGGTCACAATCGCTTATCGTCCCAATATATAAGATAGGGTTAAAATCATCCTGTGACAACCATATAGGCATTAGTTTAACTAATATAGTATCTAAAATACTAGCCTCGATAATTATCAGACGCCTAACTAAGACTCGTGAACTGCAAACACGAGAGAATCAAGCTGGCTTCAGATCTGGTCGTGGCTGCATCGACCACATATTCACCATTTGTCAGGTTCTAGAACATAGGCATACTTATCGGCGTCCGACAATGGTGGTCTTTCTCAACTTGAAAGCAGCATTTGACTCCGTAGACTGAGAGGTTCTGTGGCCGTGTCTGTCACTGAAAGGCGTACTCAGATGTACATAAACCTTGTGAAGGCTCTTTACTCGAACACTACCAGTCGAGTGAGAGCTTATGGCG